TAAACAGAGGATTTTCAGTAAAACACCCCGGGGGCTCAGACTTGTTTGGAAAAGTCAAGGCAGAGGCTGCCGCCTTCGGCAGGGTCCCCCAAGAGGCCCCCGGCCTGTCGGAGAGGCCTCCTTACAGACCTTCCAACCAAGTCCCGTGCTTCCCCACAGCATTAGAATTCCAGCTCATGTCCATGTTGGGCTCCCGGAGGGGGCTCAGTAACGAGCATCCTTCTTCCTGAGCAAGTTGACAGTCCTGACCAGGAGCAGCAGGTGGAGGCTCAGCCAGGCCTAGCACCCAGCCACAGTCAGCCTTAGACGAGGGTCAGCTTGGCCATGAAGGCGCTTGTCCAGGCACAGCGTGTGGGGGCTGGGGTGGGATGGCTTTCCCAGGAGGAAGACATGAGGAAGAAGCTGAATGTGTATCTCAATCTCCCAATCGGGTCATTCACCGCCCCTCTTGAGCAGGGCGAGGAAAGGTCTAGTTTAGAGAAAGGCAAAGTTGTGTCACACCACAGAGCACCCTTGAACCTGGAAGTGACGTCAAGAATGGGGCAGAAGCCCTGGCCGGTTTGGCTCAGTAGATAGAGCATCGGCCTGGGGACTGAAGGGTCCCAGGTTCAATTTCAGTCAAGGGCACATGCCCGGGTTGTGGGCTCGATCCCCAGTGTGGGGCATGCAGGAGGCAGCCAATCAATGATTCCCTCTCATCATTGATGTTTCTATCTATCTCTGCCTCTCCCTTCTTCTCTGAAATCAATAAAAATGTATTAAAGAAAAAAAGAATGGGGCAGAATTTCCTCATAGTACCCATATCCTGTCTGCTTTACCTTCAAATGTCTAATGTTTATTGCCTGCCTTTCCCACTAACATGTGAGCTCTGTGAGGGAGGATCACTGTCTGTGTCTCTCCACTCTTCTCCAAATCCAGGGCTCACACCCAAGTTGAAGCCACCATCATCTTCATGTAGGCCCTAGTCATTCATAGATAGATAGATAGATAGATAGATTGATTGATTTCAGAGAGGAAGGGAGAAGGAGAGAGAGAGAGAAACATCAATGATGAAGGAGAATCATTGATAGGCTCCCTCCTGCATGCCCCTCACCGGGGATCAAGCCCACAACCCCACCAGAAGAGCTTTGTCTGGTGCCTGGGAGCTGGCTTGGCCTTCACTGGACAGCCCATCAGTCCGGGGCATCAGTCACCCCCGGGGCAGCTCTCAACTCCAGTGGGATGAGAGTTCCCAGGAGGGTTCCACACAGTCCCCCCGAGGGCCCCGTGACACAGCTCAGCTGCCCGTGGCTCTGACCTGCTCATTCGGGTTTTCTGATGGGCCTTCCCCTTTCACTGACCCTGCTCCCTCCTTCCTGCTTCCTGGGAACCCTCCCGAATGAATGTCTCACATCCTTGTCTCAGCTTGGGGCTCGGCTTTGGGGGACCAGAGGGTCTCGGCTCTCAGGTCCCCCAGGCCCTCTGATTCCTCATGTGACGGGTGAACCTGCCACCTGGGCAGTGGGTCATCTTCTGCTTCACGTCGGAGACCCCAGTATCTCTTGGGGAAGGCCAGCCTTCTTCCTTGTCAATCCTGGGGTGTGATCACAGCCAGCGGACCCACCGAGGTGCATCCTTTTGCTCTGAGTGCAAGTCTAATTGTATTGATGAACTAAGGCCCCCTGCTCAGCTCATTGATTAATGCCGTCAGCCAAGACCTCAGGAATGAAAGTCAATGAATTGACCGCCAAGCAGCCTGTGTAGGTCAGCAGGTGCCAATAACCGACCCCTTGCGCTGGCGATGAGAGAAAGTATGTAGATCCTTTGTAGTGACTGTGCTATATCAGTTTGAGAACTTGCAGGCATTTTAATTGTAAGCTTTTAGGCTGTAAGTTACTGCTTAAAATTGTCTTTAGCGCTTACTAGGAAGCAGGCACGGAGCAAAGAACTTCGCATAGATTATTTCTTCTAATCTTTGTAATAACTGTTTCACTCTCAGAAGTGGAAAGAGATTTTAATAAGTTAATCCTACGTCCAAGGTTTCACAGCTAATAACTGGCAGAGCTGGGTTTCGTCTGCCTTATTGCAAATCCTCTGCTCTTTAACATTTCTCTCTGCTCTTTAACAAGTCAAGTGTGAAAGGATAATACCAGATAGAGATTCTTTGTGTTTAACACACACACACACACACACACACACACACACACACACACACACGTTTAAAGCTAGCGAATGTTGGGACTGCACTTTTTAGTAGCTTATTCGAGGGGAACTACAGGTATTTCTTTTAAAAGGTGAAGTATTGCCCAGCCGGCATTGCTCAGTGGTTGAATATCGACCTATGAACCAGGAGGTCATGGTTCAATTCCTGGTCAGGGCACATGCCCGGGTTGTAGGTTTGATCCCCAGTATGGGATGTGCAGGAGGCAGCCGATCAGTGATTCTCTCTCATCATTGATGTTTCTCTCTCTCTCTCCCTTTCCCTTCCTCTCTGAAATCAATAAAAATATACTTTAAAAAAATAAAAGGTGAAATTTTTTCCTGAATTGAAAGAGAAAATTTGATGATCCCATTAATTTTGACAAACAAATACATAGTTAATGAAAACAGCCAGAATTCTATTTTAAAATCTACTAACAATGTCAAACCCTTTTTCTTATATTTATTCCACCTCAGCTCCCTGGGCTCACTGTTCAAACCATTTGTCGTTTATCTTAGAGCACCATGAAAAGAAGCATGAAAAGATTTAAATATATATATATATATATGTTATTGATTTCAGAGAGGAAGGGAGAGGGACAAAGAGACAGAAACATCCATGATGAGAGAGAATCATGGATCGGCTGCCTCCTGCACGCCCCCTACTAGGGATCGAGCCCACAACCCCTGGCATGTGCCCTTGGCCGGAATCAAACCCGGGACCCCTCAATCTGCAGGCCAACGCTCTATCCACTGAGCCAAACCAGCCAGGGCCATGAAAGGATTTTTGCTGTCTTGTGTCTGTACATTCAGCCTTTCCCCCTTGTTCTTAGGCATCAGAAATAGTGCCACCGCCTTTGGGCACAGTTCTCTCAGAGCCGGCCTGCTGGCATCCCTGGGACTTGGCCAAAGGTGGATGTTAATGAGGTCTGTTCACTCCTCTCGTTGAGAAGCAAGCACGGAGCGAGGGCTGCTGTCCCGTGGAAATGAGTCCTGCCTGGATGCTCATGACATCTGCCCCTGGAGAGAAGCGGGCTGTTGGTTGTTAGAGGAAATGAAATGATAGGTCACAGAAACAAGCCCAGTTATTTCTACGCTGATTTCTAGAAGCTTTTTCTACGGGGGCGTAGGAAGCAGGCGCCGAGTCGCTGCAGGGATGGTCCAGCTTTCCTGGTCCTTTGGGAGGAGGCGGGCAGGGCCTTTGTTCTGGACATTCATTACCCAAACCCAAGCGTGCCCCCCAGAGCAGCTCCTCTATTTTTACTTTTAGTACAAATTCATCATTGATGCGGTTCCTTAGTAAAAATCAAATAATAATAATAAGTGTGGTCTTCGTTGGCTCCCAGGAATTGCTTTTCCCTCCTCTGCTGGCCTTCCCGGTACTTCTGTCTCCTTCTCCTGCCCCACTTTCTCTACCAACCAGAGGGATTAGATGCTTCCCGAACTTGGCTTTGACCCGATTCTCTTCTCTTGAGAAATCTCTCTTGCGGATCTTATCCACTTCTAAGGCTTCAAGAGGGGGAAATTTGTTACAAGAATGTGTGTGAAACAGAAAGAAAAAGGAGCCGATGATGCTTTATCCATCGGACGAGCACATAACCCTTTCTGTGCCTGAGACCCCTTTGTCAGTCTGAGGAACCCCATGGCCCCCTTCCTTGGAGAATGGTCTTTTAGTTAAAATACATAGAATTGCAAAGGAAACCAATCATGTAGAAATAAAGTTATAAAATATCTCGAAGAAACAGAATTGTGGCGTATCTGTAATAATAAAAGCGTAATATGCTAATTAGACCAGACAGCTGAATGACCTTCCAGACGTCATTCCGGACGAAGCCGTGGTGGAGGGGTGAGGCAGAGGCAGTTAGGGGCAATCAGGCAGGCAGGCGAGCGGTTAGGAGCCAGCGGTCCCGAATTGTGAGAGGGATGTCCGACTGCCAGTTTAGGTCCAATCCCGCAGGGATTCCTATGGGATCAGGCCTAAACCGGCAGTCAGACATCCCCCAAGGGGTCCCGGATTGCGAGAGGGTGCACGCCAGGCTGAAGGACCCCACCCCATGCACAAATTTCATGCACCGGGCCTCTAGTTCATCAATAACTCATGAAATAACAAGATCTGATGACCGGAATCAAACCCAGGACCCTTTGGTCCGCAGGATGACACTCTTAGTAACTGAGCCAAACCGGCTGGGGCTACAAACATATTTTCAAAAAGAAATATATTATCAGGGGAAGATGCTGGAGCAGGAAGCTCTGAATTTTTTTTTTTCAAGGCTAGTTTGAAACTGGACATGAGGGACATATACCATGATTTTATGAAACACGATTACTAACTGAGAAAAAACAGAGCCTAAACTCTTAGAACACAGTAGATTAACAGAGGGGAAATGCCAAGACATCTTTGATGAAAACTGTAAATTATGAGAAACATGTACACCCAGGAAGAGGAAAGAGTATTTTTCAGATGTCTCCGCATGTGTGTATGAAGATCTGTGGCTTCCCATTTGACTAGGTCTTGTTTGTTTGTTTTTCAAAATCTTTCCTAAGAGTCGCCCTGGTGGAAAACATCCCTGCGGGCCTTAACTATTCGGAAAACGCACCGTTTCACCTGTCACTCTACCAAGGCTGGATGAACCTACTCACCATGGCCCAGAAGTCGGTGGACATCGTGTCTTCCCACTGGGATCTCAACCACAGTCACCCATCGGCGTGTCAGGTAAGCGCATCCGCAGGGCGTGGGCGATGGTTTTACTGGGGTGCACTCAACACGCCTTAGTACTCCGGCCTCCGCTTCTCACGTGCAAGCTCATGTTTATAGTCTACTGTCCCCCGTAGTCCATGGACATCACTGCATTTGTGTGTGTGTGTGTGCTGTTGCTCATCGCATGTTGCTCAGCTCCTGCTAGGACGCCTGGCTTTCAAGGGCAAAATCATGTTTCGTGTTTGCACACCAGAGGCTCTCTATACGGACTTGTTGTACTGGGCAACTTCAGGGGCACCATTGGTATCATGGTGCCTGTGGCTGGCATGTCCCGGAATTCATCTTGGCACAACATGCGTGCTTACGGTTCTAATTCTGTAACCGCTTGCCGGGGCGTTCGGTTGGTTAATTGGTGTCATAATTTGTCCCAGGACCCAGGGCCAACTTTTTAAATAGTTCTCTTCAGCCAGAACCGGTTTGGCTCAGTGGATAGAGCATCGGCCTGCGGACTGAAAGGTCCCAGGTTCGATTCCGGTCAAGGGCATGTACCTGGGTTGCGGGCACATCCCCAGTAGGAGGTGTGCAGGAGGCAGCTGATCGATGTTTCTCTCATCGATGTTTCTAACTCTCTATCTCTCTCCCTTCCTCTCTGTAAAAAACTCAATAAAATATATATTTTTTAAAAAGTTACATTATTTAAAAAAATATATATATATAAAAAATAAATAAAAAATAAATAGTTCTCTTCAGGCCACCAAGTTTACCATTTCTAAAAAAGAAAGTACTACACTCGCTGGTTTGGCTCAGTGGATAGAGCGTCGGCCTGCGGCCTTAAGGGTCCCAGGTTGGATTCCTGTCAAGGGCACATGCCCAGGTTGCCTGCTTGATCCCCAGTAGGGGGCGTGCAAGAGGCGGCTCATCAATGAGTCTGTCTCATCATTGATGTCTCTATCTCTCTCTCTCTCCCTCTCCCTTCCTCTCTGAAATCAATAAAAATATATTTTTTAAAATAAATAACTAACTAAATAAATAAGAAGGTACTGGCTGAAAGCCTATTTGATTTAAATTTTACCTAATTAGAAGGACTCGGGCGTAGATACTTTTTAAAAGAGAACTTGGGGGATCCATTGGGCAGGCAGGATTGAGAATCACTGCCTTAAACCACTCCAGTCTAACAAACATCGTTTGCTTTTTTATAAATTTCAAGACGAGGACCAGGTTGTTCCCCTCCCCCATCCAGTTTGTCAACCTGATTTTGCCTGTTTCAACTTAATCCCATTTTTTCCCTCCTGTCGTCTGGGGGATGATGTGAAAGGCCGGCGACTTGACTTTGAATATTACACATATGCCTGGACGCTGGGGCCGGCGTCCTATTAATTCTTGCAACTTTATCCTGGCACATGGCCAGGAAGAGAAGGGGTTGCTTGTGGATTTCAAACAGATTTCCCTTCTTCAGCCTTCTCATCTCCAGGCTAAATATTATTTCAGGCAAACTGGTGCAGTGTCAGCGTGAAAATTGCATAACCTAAATGGAAAGAGCGTCCCCTTCTTTCAAAATAGCATATTTAGCCCCAGCCGGTTTGGCTCAGTGGATAGAGCGTGGGCCTGCGGACTGAAGGGTCCCGATTCCAGTCAAGGGCACATGCCCAGGTGGTGGGCTCGATCCCCAGTAGGGGGCGTGCAGGAGGCAGCCAATCAATGATTCTCTCTCATCATTGATGTTTCTCTCTCTCTCTCCCTCTCCCTTCCTCTCTAAAATCAATAAAAATAAATTTTAAAAAAATAAATTAAGTTAAAAAATAGCATCTCTCCCCAAATTCAACACTCAGCAAATGCTTATCAATTGGCATTCTCCTGTTTGAAACCTGGTTGCGACATCCTTTTGAATGCGCCATTATTGAACAAATATTTATGAAGGGGCTGAGCTATTGCTGGGGATACAGCACCGAGTAAGCACAGTCCCCGCCCCTTTCTGCACAGTGTAGTGGGGAAAGCACAGAAAGCGATTGGTGGGAACACAGCGGGGGGGCGGGGCCTCTGGCTTGGCCTCTCCACTGAGCTCTCCGCTCCTGTGAACTCCTGTCCTCCCTCAGTGCTGTTCTTTCTGGCTCCGTTGCTGCTGCGGCTCCAGGCATCCATCTCTCCATCTGTTGAGCAATCCTAATTATGCTCTTGCTCGCTTCCCAGTATATTTCCAAGGGAAATCAACATTCTGCTCTAAACTCATAAGCACTATGATTAGCAGGAGTTTAACCTCTTTAAAAATTTTTTTTTAAATCCAATCACATGGACATGAATAAATCATGAAGCCAGACCGTCTTCCCAGTTATTTGGATTAAATAATGAGTTTTGTTTGAAGTTGTTTACTATCTGCTTGATTGGTTTCTCTCTGGATCTTCATCTCTGCGTTTGCCATTTCCCTAAGGTCTAGTTATGGTTTTGAAACTTTCTTTTTAAAAAGAATAGGTTGAGCCCTAGCCGGTTTGGCTCAGTGGATAGAGCGTCAGCCTGTGGACTGAAGGGTCCGGGGTTCGATTCCAGTCAAGGGCATGTACCTAAGTTGCAGGCTCGCTCCCTGACCCTGGAGGCAGTCAATCCACGCGTCTCTCTCACAGCGATGTTTCTCTCTCTCTATCTCTCCCCCTTCCTTCCACTCTCTCTAAAAATCATTGGAAAGATATTCTTGGATGGGGATTAACAAACAAAAAGAATAGGTTGGATTTTTTTCTCTCATTATCCCAGTATTAGCTTCTTTCTATAGAAAGTTTGGAAACTACAGAGAAATGGAAGAGAAACAAAATTAGCCATCTGACCATCAACAAAAAATGTTTTCATAGTTTGACATTTTATGCAGTAGTTCGTCCCCCTGTAATGTGTCTCTTCTGTTTCCAGAATCTTTATTTAGCAGGTGCATCAAACACAACTCCACAGCGTATTTCTCGTCACTGTATCTTCTCCCCTTCATCGTCCTTGATGGTGATGGGTGTTACTTAGCGTTTGATTAGAGTCCATCCTTGACTGTATTCCTCAGAGGGGTTATGTGGGTAAATAGTCTCTAAATCTATAAATAACTGCATGTATTTCTTTCATTCACCCTCGAAAGCGAAATCCGTGCCTGGGCTTCAGTCTTCTTCTCCCGTAATCTGAGTTAACTTAGTGTCACAGCTGGTTGGCTCCGTGCCACTCTGATCGAGTTTCCTTGATAGCTAAGTGTTTTGTTTTCAGCCAGAAGTTTGTCAGAATTCCTTTTTCTCGTTGCTGTGGAGTCGTTTTAGAGAATATGCTTAGGTGTGTCTTTCCACATCCCGTGAGCCTCCTTCTTGGATTATTTTTTCAACATGGAGGTCTTTCCTCAAGTTGAACCATTCTTCTTCTGTTATTTGCAAACTTATTCTTTTTGCCTCTTTTTCTCTTCCAGTGCACCTGTCAGTCACATGTCCTATCTCTGCGACTTATCCATCACACTAAACCCCTGTCCCCCTTATGTTTTCCTGCGCGCTCCAAAGCTTTAGGGGTTCCATCCTGGCCTTCTCTCTTTTCTAAGATCGATTGCAGAAGTCACCTCTCTTCCTCCACAAACCTCCATTCCGTCTTCTCAGTCTCCACGTCCTTTCTGTAGAATCACCATCAACAGCCCACTCTTATTGAAGTAAGATATGACTTTGCCACTTGGGGGCCAGTAAGACCAAAGCCTTCTTGCCTGTCCGGCCCCTGAAGGCATTTGAGTTTATGGCCGGATAACAAAAATAGTGGGGGGAAAAATCAATCAAAGAAAACCAGTTCCCTTTCATGATCAGGAGAGAGAATCCCTAAAAACACACAAGGGAAAGTAAACAGGATGATGTTGTAGCCCCCTCACCTGAGATCAGGTACGGACTATGGACCCAGATTCTTCCTGAGACGAAAACCTACTATCACATGTTCATGCTTGTGAAACTGTCCTTTAAAAATCTGGTTTTACTTTGCTTTTATTTCCGTTATTCTTAGGCTGTGTCAATAATTACAGATTGCGAGGCAGAGCATCGATTGAAGTCAATAGAACACACTTTAAACAAGATGGGGAATTCAGGCAGATCCCTGCGGAGCAGCCCTGCCTGATTCCCCCATCGGAGTTAACACTTAAAAAGGTGCTTACCTACCACTGACTCCTTTAATTCTCACCAGAGCCTTTTTAAAGTAAATATGAATATCCACATTTTACTGAGGGAAGAAACGAGCTCAGTGAGATTACAAAGACAGTGTGTAAATTGGAAAACCAGCTGGAATCCAGGCCTCTGTGGACCCAAACACAACTGTTTAATGTTCTCTGCTGCCTGTGTGTAGATAACGTCAGAGCTCATCAAACGTAAAACAAGGGCAGCCCTAGCCTATTTGGCTCAATGGATAGAGCATCGGCCTGCAGACTGAAGGGTCCCGGGTTCAATTCCAGTCAAGGGCACATACCTTGGTTGCAGGCTCAGGCAGGAGGCAACCAATCGATGTGTTTCTCTCCCATCAATATTTCTCGCTATCTTTCCCTCTCTCTTCCATTCTCTCTAAAAATCAAATGTCCTCAGATGAAGATTTTTTTAAAAAAAGGTAAAACAAGGGTAAATTTGCACTGTAGCATTGAAATTATTTATTGCGGTAATTGTTGGATTGCACAATACAGTACTCAAAAAATAAAAAAACAAAAGACTGTAATCTGTGTTCCTCTTACTGCTCTACATATACCAGTTCTCCTCTGGTAGAATTTTCAAGAATACCAACTGCTGAAGTGCTTTTCTTTCAAAATTTGAATGAATCGTTTTAATTTTTTGAGTACGTTATTTATGCCTAATTAAAGTAGCATCTATTTGGGTTTCCTGACTTTCTTTCTGATTATTTTTCCCAGGGTCAACGTCTTTTCAAAAAGCTGCTCCAGCTGACTTCGCAAAATATCGAAATCAAGCTAGTGAGCGATGTGACGGCTGATTCAAAGGTATTAGAAGCCTTGAAATTAAAGGGTAAGGCCAAGGTTGATACGCTACTCTACCTCCGGGTGTTCTGTTACAATACCTTTATTCTCATTTAATATGTAATTTCCTTATAATTAATGCATTTCACATAGTGGACTTCTTATTTCTCTTTTGATTTTTTAAATATATTTTATTGATTTTTTACAGAGAGGAAGGGAGAGAGATAGAGAGTCAGAAACATCGATGAGAGAGAAACATTGATCAGCTGCCTCCTGCACATCTCCTACTGGGGATGTGCCCGCAACCCAGGTACATGCCCTTGACCGGAATCGAACCTGGGACCCTTCAGTCCGCAGGCCGACGCTCTATCCACTGAGCCAAACCGGTTTCGGCTTATTTCTCTTTTGAAAAATGATCTCAGTACAGCCTCTAGATGAAAGAACTAATTACTCAGTACTGCTGGGACTTTTAATAGAGTTGTTGCATATTAGTTTATGCAAAGTAATCTAGTGGCCGTTTAGTGATAATTAACTAGAAAGAAGAATCGTTCCCTCTCTGATCACTTCCATGATGTGATTAGAAAAAAGAGCCACTCTGATCAGAACAGACACTGGAATTCTGTTTCTCTCTTGCTCCACAAATGACAGTTGTCCTCCTGCTTCTCAAAATTTAAAAGGGTGTAATCAGAGGTTTGAATCTGGAAAACTTCCTGATTCACAGCTTTTTATTGTTGTTAATCCTCACTCGAGGATATTTTTTTTTTTCCATTGATTTTTAGAGAGAGTGGAAGGGAGTGGGAGAGACAGAGAGCGAGAGAAACATCGATGTGAAAGAGACACATGGATTGGTTGCCTCTCATATGCACCCTGACCACAACAGGGCAGGGGATGGAGCCTGCAACCCAGGTACGTGCCCTTGACCAGAATCGAACCCACAACCCTTCAGTCTGTGGGCTGGCACTCTAACCATTGAGAAAAACCGGCTAGGGCCTGATTCACAGTTTCATTTTTATTTTTATAATGAACCTTTTTTAAAATATTTTTTTATTGATTTCAGAGAGAACGGGAAAGGGAGAGAGAGACAGAAACATTAATGATGAGAGAGAATCATTGATTAGCTGCCTCCTGCATGCCCCACACTGGGGATCGAGCCCCCAACCCAGGCATGTGCCCTGATCAGGAATTGAACCGGGACCTCCTGGTTCATAGGTCGACGCTCAACCACTGAGCCACGCCGGCCGGGCCTCACAGCTCATCTTGGTGCTGTTTAGACATGCTGAGCATTTTGCTTATCATCTTCCCTACATGTTATATTATACATTATTAATATTATATTTATATTGTTAGGCACTTATCACCATGCATACTATTTTCTATACATGGGAAAATAAAGAAAAATGATGAGATATGGCTGGGCCTAAAAAGCTTCACTCTGATAGTATCTTTGGAAAAGTAGAAAACACCTACTTCAGTGGATTGACAGATACAATCCACATGGATCAGAAATGCGTTATTACTTTTCCTGTTTAAGAAACATGGAATTGGCTCCCACTGTGGAAACTCTGTTATCTGACACGTTGCTGAAAATGGATTCCCTTTGGCTCACTCTGGGTACCTGCATCTGCAGATAAGTTTTCTCCTGGAGCTTTTTTGCGTGTCCCTTGGGTTTCATTCATCGTGAAGGATAGAATGCAGATGAGTTAGGAAGAGAGCGAAGAGCAGAAGAGTGTTTGACTGTACACCTGCAAATCTGCTGTTTGCCGCAGCTCATCCTCAATCTTGTCAACTCAACCAAAGTTAAAACTTAGGGAATATGCCCAGCCAGTGTGGGTCAGTGGTTGAGCATTGACCTATGAACCAGGAGGTCATGGTTCAATTCCCGGTCAGGGCACATACCCAGATTGTGGGCTCCATCCCCAGTAGGGGACGTGCAGGAGGCAGCCGACCAATGATTCTCTCTCATCTTTGATGTTTCTATCTCTCTCTCCCTCTCCCTTCCTCTCTGAAATCAATAAAAATATATTTTAAAAAATAAAATATAAAAACCGGAGAATATTAGAGCACGTAACAACCTTTCTTCAGTGCTGCTGAGTATATGGCTGCTCTAGATAGGAAATAGCTCTTAATGGATTTATGGCAAAGGCCCGGTTTACGTTTCTGTTGTGAACTATGAATTAAAACTTCATTCAGTTATTGCTTCTCACACACAAAAAAAGCAGCGTTTGGATGTCAGCTTATGTATATATTGCTACACCTTAGGCTCTCTTGCTGTACAATAGGTGTTCTTCTAAAAATACGAAAACAAATGATTTTCCTTTATAAAGGTGGAGCAGTAAACAGGACGTTAATTTCTCAGAGCTATATCCTAGGTACTGGTCACAGACCTATCTGGCTTTTATTAAGATATATATGTGTATACAGTACATATACAGGGTGTCCCCAAAAATGTATACACACTTTAACAGCTGATGAGAGAGAATCACTGATCGGCTGCCTCCTGCACGCCCCACACTGGGGATGAAGCCCCACAATCCGGGCATGTGTCCTGACCGGGAATTGAACCGTGGCCTCCCGGTTCATAGGTCGATGCTCAACCACTGAGCCATCCTGGCCAGGCTGACCAAGGAATTCTTCAAACTTCTACATCGAGCCCAGTTTTTCTGACTCCCTTTTTGTGTCTGAATCATCGATGCCCGTGTTTTCCGCCTGTGATGGTGCTCTGTGACTTTAAGAAACAGAGGCTCTCCTATTGTCTTTTTCCATTCTGCTTGTTTTTGAAACTTCCCAGAAAAATCCCAAAAGATTCCGACGGGAAGCGAGCCTCCTGCTCCTTCCCCGGAGGGGCCTACGTGATTTGTTGACTGAGTGTTGAGAGACGGCAGGAGACCTGTCATAACAGCGTCACCACGCGGACCACCAAGTGACACCTGTGATGCTGCCACCTGTGTGCAGCCATCAGACGACGCATCCGTGTCAGAGATGTGACGATGGGAACTCGGTGCTTCAGGGCCAAGGGAATATGGAAATGAGGGTTGCTTTAAAATTCAGCCATAGATGAGAAAATTCAACCTAGAAACCCTGAACTCTGATAAAGCTCGATTAAATTAAGCCCGGCCATTCCGAATACCACTCTGAGGGAGGCTGATTCTAAACCCTCAATCTGAGAATAGGGGGGCAGGTGTAAATTTGAAAATGAATACAAGCTGCCCCATTCCCAACTTAGACATTTTACAAGGTGACTGTTGAACTGCTTGCTCCAAATAAGCATAACGTAATTTGAGATAACGTAATTTGAGATTTTTTTGTGCGTGTTGAGGCCTCTTTACTTAGGTTTTACTGGCTTATAACGATTTCAAAGTCAAGATGTGGTTTTCTGTGCTCACTGAAGGTCACACGATCAAGTATGTTTACTAATTTCCCCAGAGGAAACTCTGTCTTCTTCTGGCTTTCATCCCACCATGTGAGAGGTTGCCGTTGTTAAGAAACCTGCGTATGCCATAAGGTCTTTTGTTGTCCCAGTGAAGGGCTCTCCTCATGATGTTCAATGCAGGAGCTGCCCCCTGGTGGTCAGTGCACTCCCACAGGGGGAGCGCTGCTCAGCCGGAAGCCGGGCTCATGGCTGGCGAGCCCAGTGGTGGTGGCAGGAGCCTCTCCGGCCTCTGCGCAGTCGGACATCCCCCGAGGGCTCCCGGACTGCGAGAGGGCGCAGGCCGGACTGAAGGACCCCCCCTCCCAAGTGCACGAATTTCATGCACCGGGCCTCTAGTAAGAAATATTAGTCATGCTCTGTTCACTGTGATGGTTCTGTTCTGATAGAGAAAGCACATTCTAACCTGGCTGGGAGTGGTACGCCCTGGGACATGGGAGCCAACATCTGAATGCAGTCCCTTCTCCTGTCCCGAGAACTGCCTATCATCATGGAAAGGGTTCCAGCTGCCTGGTCGGAACGGTCTAGTCCAGTGATGGCGGACCTTTTGAGCTCGGCGTGTCAGCATTTTGAAAAACCCTAACTTAACTCTGGTGCTGTGTCACATAGAGAAATTTTTTGATATTTGCAACCATAGTAAAACAAAGACTTATATTTTTGATATTTATTTTATATATTTAAATGCCATTTAACAAAGAAAAATCAACCAAAAAAATGAGTTCTCGTGTCACCTCTGACACGCGTGTCATAGGTTCGCCATCACTGGTCTAGTCCCAGAGGCACCCACCCTTATACCTTACCTACTGACCCATGCCTGTAATTCCTACTTTCCCACGTAATCTTTGCCTTTCTCCCCAATATAGGCAGCTGGCTTATGGTGGCGGGTAGAGCAGATGTTTGTGGGTGACCTGCTGCTCTCCCATGCTGCCGGCAGGATTGAAGTAAATGCTCATATAGGTTTCAACCCTGTCTCTGCTGAATTGGCTCAAGTAGTGATAGGCAGCCCTGGACCATCCCTTCCACCGCACCCTGACCTGGATGTCACTTGGTTGGTTGAATTGAATTGAATCCCCTGCCAGTAGAACTGCCAGTGCTCAATAGATACTGACTTGAATTTCCCAACGGGACTGGATTCGGGCTTTCCTAAACCCAGCGTAGACCCCTGTGATAGAAGCTTCTCTGCCTGCATGAATGCATGTCTTGGCCCTCTGACTTAGCTCTAAGCTCTTCCCAGTGTGTCCCCTTTGTCCCCATGGCTGCAACGAAGAGCCACCTCATCTCATTGGCACTTTAGGAGACACTGATGGATGCCATTCCTTTCTAGATGCCTGAAGGAAGGTGTCCACACTCCAGGTCCCTTTTGCTGGGACCAGAGTGGTCACAGACTCCCCTTAAACTCCCTTTTCCCGCCTGAGCCCACTCCTGGCTCCAGCCCCGTCTGTGCAGCCGCGAAAGTCCCAGCAGGCGCCGGCATATGGTTCAGTGCGTGCCAACCCACCATGCGGCTCAGCAAGCTGTCTGCTTGGCAGCCTCACACGCCTCCCTTCCTCATTCTTACTGTTTGGGGAGTCTGTTTAGTGACGAGATAAAATTGCCTGAGAGCCATTTCTTTATTACATGTA